TTTCCTTCAAGACGGGATTGGAGTAGGGGCAGGATAGTCGAGGAGAATTACACTGAAATCTACACTGACGGGTCCAAAATGGACTGCGGTGTGGGTGCGANCTGACGGGTCCAAAATGGACTGCGGTGTGGGTGCGAGGGTGTTCTCTGAAACGCTGAATGTCTCTCTCTCGTTTCGACTACCTGACTTTGCTAGCATCTTTCAAGCGGAAGTACTGGGCATCGAAAGGAGGTCCTGTAAAGCACTAGAGAGGAACTGCGTAGGTGTACGAAAAGCATAAATTTTTTCAGATTGCCAAGGGGCACTTCTGGCACTTGCCTCACCGGTAACAAAATCCAATACAGTCAGAGATTGCAAATGTGCGTTAAGCTCGGCGGCCGAGTTAATAGACATCACTCTCATCTGGGTTCCTTGCCGTAGGAAGATACACGGCAATGAGAGTGCTGACGAGTTGGCTAAGGCCGGAGCATCTTTGGATGAATCCGAAGCAGAAACTATAAATTGTCCACTCGGACTCATCAAAAGGGAAATGCATCTGCAATTCACACGTATGGCTGATACACGTTGGAACAACCTTCAAACCTGAAAAACTGCGAGGTACATATGGCCGCACTATGACAAGCCAAAGACAGAAGAACTTCTGAAGAGGTCGAGGAAAGATATAGTCAAATTAATAGCCACGATAACGGGTCATTGTCCCATTGGTGAACATGCAGCTAGAATGGGCCTTCTGTATAACCCTCGGTGCCGTAGCTGTAATCTTGTGGGAAGTAAGAAAACGGTCCTTCACTATCTTCGCGAGTGCCCAGCATTGGCACAGATAAGGCAGATTACACTCGGGAGTTTTTCCATCCAAAATGTTGGGCAAATTTCCAAATTAACCATTACTAACCTAAATAGCTTCATCGGAAAATCCAAATGGTTTGACGAACCCAACGAATCATGAAAGCAGATAGAATCAGGGATCCCAGAGAAAGCGTATCAAAATGGTGCTTTCAGCACTAATTTGGTCCCGGGAACATACCCAGGCGACGCTTCTACCAACCAACCAAACAAACACATTCACATTTTTTATACATATTTTTATAATTTTTGCACAAAGTTTGAAATATGAATTTATATGGTTTTTGTTAGATAATGAACTATACTTTTATAAAAAAGTAATAAATATTAAATAAACAGAAGAAAAGTAGGAACAATTTGTTAAAATGTCGTGTCCCTATTTATTTATCCAGCACTGTATATATATGTAGTTATGTAGCTGTATAACTAAAACATAAATAGTTTTTCACCAAAGTAAGAAAGGAAATTAAGGTTTGATGTTTTTCTGTCCTCTGGTATGTATTTCATATTTGTTTAATTTTTAGTGATTAATTATTTGATGTTTTGTGACGTACTTCCAGTAAACGAGCGATATGTTTACGTGTTTTTTTCTTAAATTATACTATATATTAAAATACCATTACTTGTCAATAAATCCAAAGTTTCTCTAATTACACACATAAATATGTATTTTCTATTTATTGATTTTTTCTAGAACTAAGCGGCATATAAGAGGCGTTCATAAAATTCAACAAGACGAAGAGGTCGAAAAACTCGTAGTAAGAATAAATGTAACGAAAGAATACCGAGGCCGAATAGTCGAATTTTTGAGAAAAACTGAAGATGAAACACCTGCTTAAGTACAATTCTTAATTTTTTAGTGATGCAATTATTATAAGTTATTCAACTTAAGATAAATTCTAAGTTTTCTATCCTTCATAAACAAATCTAAATTGTTTGAATTTTCATAACCAGAGCTTTTTGCCTAATTTGAAGCGCTTAAAATCGGAATGCGAAAACGGCTACCATTTTATATGCATACATACATACTGTTACTCCCAAATTGAGCGTACGGCTCTTTTTTGTTAATATTCGCAATGTTTTACATGCTAAAATCTTGTTGTTAATTTTGTATTAAAATATGGCCTATATTTTAGCAACAGTGTACGAAAATTAAGAAAAATGTGCAGCAGAAGAAAACTTTCAGCAAAATCGCGAACTTTTTAATACGAATTTCTAAAAAGAATTCAGGTATGCAGCCCATTCAATTTTAATATAATAATGTGCGAATTTGAAAATGTCTAAAAATTCACGTTGATTTTTTGTGAATTTTTTTGCTGACCGTCCTTTGCATTTTTTTCATATAAAAAAAAAATTCCGAAATTTTTTTATATGGTTATCGAAGATCGAAAGTAAAATTCGTATTATGAGCTATGCAACCGTGTCGAACTTTTCGTTGACTATCGAATTTTCTGTCGAACAGAATTTTGCTTTCGATGGTGTAGCGAAGTGTTAGAAAATTGTAAAAAGTGCGTGATTTTGCATTTGTTTTCTTACTTTTTGGCGGCTAGACACTAATTTTAAACAAGTTTTATTAATTTCATGCAGTTCTAACGTCGTGAATACTAAACACAAGCTCGAAAGATAGACTCAATCTGGGAACTATTTCGGGGTCTTAGAGATTTACGGGCTTCTTGGAATTTATCGATATAATAATCGATATTTTTATAGGTTTTGTTATCTAAATTTTTATAAATTTTTGTTCATATTTTTATCGATATTGATATCGATTTTTCTGTCGATATTTCTATCGGATTTGTTATCAATATTTTTATCGGTTTTGTTATCGATATTTTTATGGATGTAACTATCGATAAAGATAAAAATAGAGATAAAGGAAAACAGCCCAACATAAATGTAATTAGAACGAACAGGATAAGGAAAGAGGTAGGGAGATAGAAAAAAGGCAAAAAATATAACCCAGCAGATAATTTAAGTAGGCCTTAAGTGAAGCCATTCTAAGAGGCCTACCCAAGAAGAGCTGAAAAAAGTGCTTCTTGCATGCCTTTTAGAAGGGCTTATCCATTTACAATTTACGCGAATGCATAAATTTATATTATTTAGTATTACCAATGAATTTCGATAAACATTTTAAGTTTGCAATAACACATATTTGATATAAACCTTAAGCAAATACTTAAAAGATGTACGATTTTTTTTTAAATTAAAGAAGCAACTTTAAAAGGACTCCTTCAAAAGGCCCTCTGTAGTACGTCCTATAAAAGCCCTTCTGGAAGGCCTTCTATGGGTAGCGAAAGAAGAAGCCCTTCAATTTGTGCCTTTCTATACAAAAAAGAAAGGAGAAAGGAATGTAGAGTGGAAGGCCTTTTGACTCTCAGGAAGGCCTTTCGGAAGGGCTTTTTACTCCTGAATTACTGGGAACCTTAAGCAAAAGCAGACGAGATGCAACGTAAGTTTCACTTCTCCAGTGTGGCCCAGGCGCACTTACTTTTTTCAATATCATTTCAGAAACGAAGCGCTTGGAACACAAACGCTGCTTATTGAGTCTTATAAGGATTGGACCAATCCTGTTGTGAGCAAGCAAATTCGCCAAGAAAACCCCACCGAAAATAAACAAAATTCTAGAATTATATATTTGTTCGTTGTTGCATTAGACAGACTATTTTTTAGCATTCTAGCTTTCGTGATGCAAAAGAAGTTGAGTAATTAAAACGCAGTAATTGTATAAAAAATATTCGGATTTACTACCTTTAATTATGCAAGCCATGCATTTATTAGACGCCTTTGGAAAAACGTGAGAACAAAAAAACATTTCAAAACCGTCAAGTAGGTGTCATTCTTGCTGTCGAGTTTTTACAATCCGGATCACTTTTTTATCAATTCGCACAGGCCCTAAGATGGTGAGTTCCCCACCAAATCGAATATCTCTTAACATACCACTTTGACCAGTTTTGACTATTTTTCTTTTATTTGTTTAATGTTTATTATTATCTTTTGTAAAAATGCAGCTCATTATCTAACAAAAACTATACAAGTCTAAATTTCAAACTTTGTAGAAAAATTAAACAAAATTTTACGCGCATTTTCCTCCATACAAAGTATGTTCGACAACTGTTTTTTTGTATGGAAGAAAATAGTAACGCCATTGTAAAAAAAATATATCAACAAGTAATTTTTAAGCAAAAAACAAAACCGACTTCAATTTTCATATATCCAATGATCGGATTAAAACCAAATTAGTATGGGACCACCTGTGAAGTAACACCATTCCTTTAAGTTAAAGTTATGCGGTAACATACATAAAAAATAAAAAATAAAAAAAAATAATCCAACGAATTGGTAACCTTAACCCTTTTGTGAAGTCGGTTAAAAATAGCCAAACCTGGTCAAAATGTCTTGTCCCTATTATTTTTCACATGACTTTTTATACAAATAAACAGAAGTATTTATATGCAAATATTTGTTTTTATCATGTGCAAAATCATCCATGTGGCAGGTCATTACGAAATCAAAATCAGCCAAAGCATGAACGGTGGAATATGCACCGGCTGTAGCCAACAACTAAGCTATGGCTGCCGCTCTGGCTAAGTACCACCAAATTTGGTAATCGCCCAAAGGGCATTTAATAAACCGAAATATCGAAGAAAGCGTCTACGGAAATGCGTTAATTGTGCCTTTAAGGCCGCAGGAGGAATCAGCGTCGACTGCTTGTGCAACATAGACACTACCGCGGACACAAAAAGCGAAGCAGAAAGACTGATGCAGCGTACGGGAAAATCTTTCTTTAAGTTGCTCTTAAACCGTCCCGTAACTGTTGATGGGCGCGACAATCAGATGATGCAACCTCCCTTGGCGCATGCGGAAAGCAGAAAACACAAACCCCATGGACCAAAAACCGTGGCTGTTATTAAGGAACGATTTCCAGATGGCTGTTCTATTCGGGGGTTAAGTTCTGCCAGGCCAACAATCAACATGTATTTCGAAATTTCTGGTCTGCCAGCTGGCATAAAATACGGATTGATCGGTAAAAACTGCTGCGTGCGTCGATCGGGTTGATTCACATCGAAAACCGTACGAGAACGGATCGCAACAAAAAGAAATGACATGAAACGCATCTCTCCATTTTTTCCAGACATCGAATATTTGCAGGTGATTGGCAATGCAGTGGCCTTGAAAACACAGAAGAAAGAGAACCTTAAATAAAATAAAACAAAACAACCTCTTAGAGCGCATTCTGAGCTTTTATTTTTTTTTTTATTTTGGCAAAATTCATTATTACATATAAAGTACAAAGATTTGATAAGTTTTCCAAATAAACAAACTCTATTCTTTGAATTGTGCAGACATCAATATGTTGTATTGACATCAAAGCAGTTAAAAATAGTAGTCTAATATTACAAAACACAAAGATTTAAACTCATATCATAAAATCTAAATGGGCGTTTATTTCTAAAATGAGTTCTTTCTTCATTTTCGACTTCAGAAGTAGGTAAGTGATGAAAATGAATACCAACGATGCGTGAAGCAATGCAAAATGTACTCATTTATTAGTCTTATTTTTATATCTACATTATTTCAAGCCTCATTTTTGAATTGAGTATCAACTCATTAAAAAATAATAATTTGCTTTTATGTTTCGGTACATTAAAATACCGTTACCCTAAAATAGAAAGGCTTTGTCTGACTTTTTTTGCTTTTTTACAGAGTATTTATACAATTTTTATAAAAACTAAAGATCTTCAGTTAAGATTTTTTTGTATTATATTGGCTTTTATTAAACAGCAACTAATTTTTTGATGTAGTAGTTGATTTTAAGTTCGATTAAGTCTGTTGAATAATCTACTCACTTTTGTACAGAGAGTAAAATGAGTTAGGGCCTTTCTAAATTAAGGTAACGGTACATATCGTTTACTGAAAGAGTGTCATTTTCCAAAAATTGGAGAATAACGGCATTTAAATTTTTGAATTTATATACATATGTGTGTATACTCACATAGTAAAAATGAATACTTACATATTTCGTTCTAGTGAGTTACTAGTATTCGTTACAGCAATGCAAATTTTTACACAACATAGAACAGGTAGCGTTCATTTCTGCATATTTTTAACTCGATTTTGGATTATGACACCCTTGCAGCAAATGTGCGATATGTATATAGCATATCGAGGGCTTATATTCAATACCCTCAAACTGCAATTTTTTCAGAAACTACTTTGTGATGTTAGAACCCATCTGGGATTTGCCTGTCATCACTGATGTTGATTCCGACTTTGCAATGTAATTGTAAATTCTTCTGTCAAGCGTTATACAAGGTCAGCATTAATATCACCAATGACAGTTAAGTGTTAGGTGGATTTTTATATCAGAATCGCATTTTTGTGAAAAATGAAGATAGAGGGTGTTGAATATAAGCACTCGATATGTAGATTACTAAATATAGGCAAAAAGGTGTACGAGTGTTGCTTTTTATATATTACGCCTTGCAAAACTACTTGTGATGAGCTGTAATTCGATATTTTTATCGAAAAGTTTGGTATTTTTTAGCATAAACTTACATATAACGTTCTCTTTTACGAGCTTTATTTTATTTTTTTCCAGTGAGATTGTTCTTCTCGTGAAAATTTTCTTGTGATGATTTATTACGATTTTCGACGTGGATTATCGAGACAGGAGTGCATTGATTAACTTACTTCGACTTTTGGCGTTGTAGCACTACACTTAGCCACTGTGAAATGCTGATACGAGTTCCAACGTGGCCGTCGATCCTTGCAGGATGAATTTCGTGATGGTCGTTCAAAAACAGTTGTTGTGCCACAAAAAATCGATGCTGTGCGTCAATTGATAACGTAAGATCGTCAGGTGACATATCGCGAGATAGAGACATCCTTGGGCATTACTGAGACCAGCATACATTCTACATTGCATGAACATTTGTCCGTAAAGGAGGTTTGTTCTCGTTGGATACCGCATAATTTGAAAGTTTAAAAATTGGTTCAAGCGAATGCAGAAGTGTATTGACTTCTAAGGAGAATATTTTGAAAAACAGTAGAGCCACAAGTTAAGAGACCTATTGGCTGATGAACAATTAAAAAAAAAAACTTAATCCGATCGAAAAATCCGCATGGACATGTTTTTGAAATGGTGTTCGTAGTTTTATTGGAAACCACAAAGCCGAAAACGTTGAAGAGTTGGTCAGCAACTTTTTAACAGCCTACAATAATATGGGATGCAATATGTTGCTCAAGATAAGCTTCTTACACTGACATTAAAATTTTTTCCTGAAAATTTGGGTGCCGTTAGCGAAGAACACGGCGAGCGGTTCATCGGGATATATCTTAACATAGAAAAATGGTACCAGGGATAATGGAGTCCAGATTTGTTAGCTGACTACTGTTGTACACTAAAAAGAGATGTACTTGATGCTAAATGTTTCCGAAAATCTTAAATAAAATTAAAAGATTATTTCTTTTTCTTCATTAAATACAGTTTTCAAGCGTATTTCATTAAATTTTACTTAAATGCTGTTGCGGAAAAACTGAGGGTGACTGAATTATTTTAAAAATGTGGATTAGTTACAGGTTAGCTGTAGATACAAAATAACCCTTTCAATTTCATTTAACTTTTATTAAGGTAATTTTTGGGCATCAGTGTTATTTTACTGTTTTCGGTATTAGGCGCAGAATATAAAAGACAACCCTCGTAATATGCATAGTAAGACCTGTAGCTCGTTTCTGTAACAATTCTCTATCAAGGCGAATTGAGATATGAATTCGCCGCCCTGTTCTCTACTGCTAATGAGTAGTAGAGAATGACGTATATTATCTACCAGTAGAGAAGAGTTACAGAAACGGGCTACACTGGCCTGGTAACAAACATTTTGTGACCGCTAACTAATGGTCCTATAACGTATGGCGACATACATCGTACGTTGTTTTATGTATAGCGATTAATCTCAGTATACAGAAAAGCGCATACAAAAGCCGAATTTACTTTTTTGACATGAACATTTCGAAGTACATAATTGAAAACTTGAATCCAATGTGTTTAACAAGTGTAAACAAATAACCAAATCTCATAAGCGGGAAATAGAATATTCCGCTACTAGACTCAGTAGCCAGTAGCCATACGTAATGCGAATTTTAGTATATGGTTGCCTATCGGCTATCAGTCGCCATTATATAATAGGGCCATAAAGTTCGTGTTAAAAAATGTTTAATTTTTTCGCTTACAAAATGTGCGGCAACAATCGGAATAGCCATGATAATGTATGTATATAAGTATATGTATGTTTATATGGCATATATCATTACCTCTACTGAGCTATAAGCTTTTGACTACAATAATTCAAAATTATGACTCGGATTTCAAATTTACCTTAATTCGCAAAAAATACTAAATAATTATGCCATGTGTGCGTATGTTATGAATTCAAAACTTGAAATTAACCTATTTACTTGTTGAAAAGTTATCCTTTCTCGCTTTTAAAGTGTATATGTATGTGCGATTTGTTAAATTTTAATTCCCCTTACAAAAAACTGCTCTTTACTTATTTATTTTTGTTTCCTTTGTTGCAAGATTATTACAAACAATATACAAGTTCATAAGTCGTCGAGCTTAACGCAATAATTGTTTATAATTAATTCAGACATTTTGAAATTTGTAGCAACTATTTTGTATTTAGTAAATATATGGCTAAGGAAGTTGATTGCAAACTCGCTCGAAGCATACTCGTACTTCTTTGTCACTTCCTCTCTCNCTCTCTCTCTCTCTCTCTCTCTCTCTCTCTCTCTCTCTCTCTCTCTCGATTACAGATATCTTGCACTCAGTCACATGGTACATACACACTCTATTACTTAAATAATTAAGTCCTTAACTAAATTGACGCAATCGTTCATTACGTCGCTTCTGAAGTGTTTTCTAATGTAGTTGGTGGCTGAGTTGTCGCTTCATTTAAATCAGCGCTTTGCAGGGTGGTCGCAGACTCGGCATTTGAACTGTAAGTGCTTTTCATGGAGGCAACCATACTGGCATTGGAAGTACTCGGCGTAGGCGTACGCAGTTCATCTTCTTTAACTAAGATTTGAGCGCTTTTCAACGGCGTTGTCGTCGTTACATTAACCTCATTCCGTCGATTTTTTACCTCATCCTCCTTTTTCACAACTACCGGATCTAAAGGTAACTCATCCACTACTGCATCGATGTTAAGCGCATCATAAGGTGTTACGAAATCAGTACTACTTCCACTACTCCTTATACTGATTTGCGAGCCGCCACCACCGCCGCCATTGCCTTTGAAAACAACACTACCATCAAAACGCACAATGCTGCCACCGCCTAGGTGGTGGGCACGCCCATTGTTATCAACTTGATCGCCGCCTGTATTCGATTCAGAGGCAGGGGTGTGCGGTGTACTACGCGAACGATGTGCATGATGTTGTCGTATGGCCAAAGACAGATCAACTTCGATGTCGGAATCCATCTCGTTTTCGGAGAGCGACAAAGAGGTGCCTGTGCGCTTTATTTTGACCTGCAGGAATTGCAATTGTAAATTTTGGATTTTTGACAAAATTAATTATCTTTGTATTCACCCGCTTGTACGTCGACGGCTCCGATATGTAACCGTCGTAGTCCTCGTCTTCGCTAAAGAGATAACCTTGGTGCAATTGTTCATTGCTTATATAGGTTTCAGGTAATTTGCAAACGATATGTGCCAAATCGATGAATGTATAATCGCTTAGGGTGCCAGGATTCTCTTTCTTCGAAGGCTCCTTGTTAAACCACTGATTAAAGCGTCCCAAGCGTCCGGCTTTGGCCATAGCATCGAAGTGGTTTTTACCAAAAACGTAACCAACATCACGTATTTCATCGAAGCTACCAAAGGCGAGCGTTTTGTACTTGTCAATGGGCGGGCGAATATATTCGCAGTATTCGGAATTTTTCACTTCCTAAAATGGCATAAATGGGCAATTAAATAAAATTGATTACATGGGGAATGTTTGTAACGCTTTGGCTTAAAAAAATACTGAACCAATTTTAATAATTCTTTTTCTAAAATGATGCATTTATGAAAAATAATTTAGTGGTATACTTATTCCTTTGAATCGCTAGGTTGCGCTGGAGTCAATATACTTAACAAGTAATTTTTAAGCAAAAAACAAAACCGACTTCAATTCTCATATAAAAATTTAAGATTATCGTTAATCTCTTCATGATCCAATGAACGGATTTAAACCAAGTTAGAAAACTCACATTTATAGTTCGATTTATGTTCATTTATTATTTGCTATGCAATAAGAAAAATAAACCCGCTAGGTGGCGCTGGGTCGAGTTATTTTGAAAGCTCGTATTAATGGTCTGGGCTCGAATCGTAACAGCAGTTCACGGATCGAAAACCATACGAAAGAAAATTACGTGATACGTCAGGCAGTATAAACTGAATGGGACAAAGGTACGTTCACGTATGTCATAATGCGAAAAATGTATTTTTACGTGACGAGTAATACGATAACGTATGTTGCGATTCGAGCCTTGATTTTGTTCATCGAAATCGAAAAATACTTCTTCAAACAAAAATTCTGCCGATAGATGGCGCTAGAGTCGAGGTTCTTAGAAACTCCGTACTTATGATCTGCAGGGGCTCTATGTTTATGTTAAAAGAATTTTCTTTTTATGTGGCTAAAAGAAACCATCTTGTGGATCCCCAAAATTAAAAAAAAAAAATGCCGAAAGTTGGACTGCACTCACCTCGAGTTGGCGCACACACGAAACATACGCTAAACGAGACTGTATATCGGGCAGATCAGGCACCTTCACCGGTGTTGTGAAGGGGTTCCATTTCTTATACAGCAACCACCAACCAGATAAATCATCGCCGTAGTTCGTCAAATCCATATCGTCTTGGGAGCCCACATCGATAGCAATAATATGTGCGGCGCCCAAATTATGCATTACGTCGGCTATAAAATACACGAAATGTGATTAAAAAATCTCATAGAAATGTTATGGCATTTTGTAAACAACATAGCTACGCAAATCTATTTCATTCATCCAATTAAATATTTTCTATAACACGAAACGATTTTTTCCAGAAAAAAATATGCAGAGGGGAAATTTTATTTTGAATACTAAATACATATGTAGTTATTATCTCACTTTTTAACGCTGTTTTTATTCAAATAGCCAATACGAGCAAGGAGGACTAAAAGAGAAAGTGCAGGGTGATTACCTAGCTGAATGTACTACAATTACACAATTAGATTTGCAGTTTAAACGAAAGAAAAAACCCCATTCAAATCCATAAATAACCAAATTAAAAAATAACTTAAGTCATGCAAAAGAAAAAAACCAATCAAACAACTGCATTGTACAAAGTGCAATTAGTGCGGGTGTCAGACTGTATCATACACACACGTACACACAAACGCTTTTTATGCTATTTAACATACTGTTAAGTAGATTATTGGCTTTTTGGGTAGTTCTACAAGTTCGAGAGAATAGCAGGAGTTGGTAGAGTAGATGTTAAACTATGAATGTTGTGATTTTTGTGTTTTATTACCTGGCACATTATTGGTGTAACAACCATCGAGCAGTAAATGACCGTCTCTATAATCGCAGAATGGTGGAAAAACGCCCGCTATGGACATGCTCGCACGCGCATAGCGCCATAGACATCCTTCGAAGGTGTTTGAGGTTGACCGGTGTGGTGGCGGGCGTGTGGCGAAAGTGAAAATATAATTGGGACCGAACGGCAAACGTTGCACGATATTCACGTGATTTTTGCATTTTTTTTACACGAGTATTTTCATTTATTGATTTGTGCAACACAAAAATTTTGAATGCAACATATGAAAAAGAGTATAAAGAAAAAAGGATTATATCAATAGACATTTGTTGATAACAAAACACGTAGCAATGGTACGCAGCGCTGTTTTTTGAATGTTAGGAGTCATGAGAAATGGTGTGTGAAATGTGAAAAAGTCTTTTCAAGAGTATGTATGCATACGCATATATGTATGTTAGTTAAAATTAAAATATTTTCAACCGAGTCTGGTACTTGGTAACCCGGTACTGGATAGTTTTTCTCCATTTATTTTGTATACCCAATAAAAATTGTACCAAGTATCAATTGCCAAATTGTCAAAACTACGAAACGCGTGTGAATAATAGCACCTTTAATTTACAAATGTGAGGTAATTTAATGAAAACATAGCATATTTGTCGTTTAATCCCGAGATTTGTTAAATTTGTATGTTTTAATGAAGTTTATAATAATTAGAATTACACAGCCCAAAAAAAATTCTACCAGGCGGTGACCACTTGTTCTTATAGAGTTTCTCCGCTGAACTCCGTGGAATCAGATACTGAAATTCAAATTCTTCAATTGCCACTAGTTTTTGACATTTGGGATTTAAGAGATGGCAAAACACGGATTTTTACCAGCTGTGAAATATAATTTTTTGAATTCGAAATGATCTTTTGAAATGAGAGCTAAAATATTGGACTTTTAGCTCTTAAGAAAAAATTGTACCCTCATACTTATGGAATTAAAAATGTTTATAAAAAAAAA